CTGTTGTTGCTGCTGTTGTTGTTGTTGCTGTTGTTGTTGTTGGTGGTGGTGGTTTTGTTGAATTGTTGATTTGCTGATTTGTTTTGTGAATGATATCCCCGCTACGAACCCGGGTCTCATGATGTTCAACATGAGGATATTAAACAAGCATGGGGATATTGGTGGATATGTTTAAACATCTTATATATATATACTGTATATATATATAAGTATATAACTTAAAACAAGTTCAATTTCTGAATAAAACCAAACTGAACTTGTGATATTGCTATGACTGGAACAACTTAGATATTTTGTTGCACCACTATACCACTATCATATGATCAACGATATATATATATAATATAACATGATATAACTTATAGCACACACTTTGAATTTTGATATCCCTTGAGTTGCCCTGCTTAGGTCCAGCACTTGCAGGTTGTCGCGCCCAGCTTGCAGCAACTGCGGCTTGGGCATCTTGGGCTTCACGAGTCAACCAGACATCACTCAACTCAGTGGGTGAATGGGAAAACGGGAAACAATGATAAAGTAGACATGTCTTTCCAATGAGTCCAATGTCCAATGATTCTTCCGATACCAAAGATGTATATACCTAGTGGAAACAATATACACGTACAAATATAGAGTTGACTAATGTTAACTGATGGAAATGTTCAGTCACCCCAACACGTCTGTTGGTAAATGTAGCTGAATCCGTCTTTGCTTCTTGCTCAAGGCCTTGAGTCTGATGGTCATGAATATAAGCTCCCCTATGTACACACATATATATATAAAAGGTACAATGTAAGTTTCCATTAATATACCCTCTGGTAATTTAACGTAGCGAACTGGAAAATCCACCCATTTTATAGCTGGGAAAATCCACTATTTCTATGGTCATTTTCAATAGCTATTTTGACATAACCAGAGGGTAACTCCCATTAAATCCCATTAAACCACCATTTTCCTATGGTTTTCCTATGGTTTTGACATAACCAGAGGGTAGACATAGTTCAAAACTGGGCCCAACGTGCCTTGGCCACGGCCTTGGACCCCAGGTGATTGTCGCTCAGGTCCAACTCTCTTAACCTGGTGATGGCCGTTGTTTTCTATGGCAAATCCCATCCAAAACCATAGGAAACCATAGGAAAACTATGCAAAATGGAGGTTTTAATGAGAAAATCCACGAAAACTATAGGAAAACCATAGGTTTTTACTGGATTGGTGGGAAATATCTACAGGTCAAATATATGGGTTTCCTCTGAAAATTTTCCCCGATATAAACAATCCACACAGGAAATATGGAATATGACACGCTAATATGACTATCATTCAGAAGTGATGGTTACATGTATCACACATCCTCCGGTAATCAAACATGGCTAGGTTGTTTATATAAATTTAGCTGGGATAAGAATCGAACTAAATGGTGGATTTCCGCTTGCCATGTTTGATTACCGGAGGTACCTGAAATTTTGGAAAAACCCCAGCAATCCAGAGATCCCCGGTTCTCACCATTTTCACAGTGTCACTTTTTCATTTTGGGGGGCACACCCTGTTTTCAGACACATCAAAATGCCGGAAACAGCAACGAATCAGGGCAAGTGATCGCATGAATATGATTGACTCTCAAACTGGAAACACACCAAATGGGGATGACTGCCTGACTACCCTCCAAGAACGGTGGGGTTAGCCACCAATCATCCTGATCTATCTAGCACAAACTGGTACATCAAGCAGCATCAACTCAGCTCTGATGATTGGCAAACAACAGCAATGGGGCTATGATCCGGATGATAAAACCCACAGATGGGGAGATTGTTGTGGCATAATAACCCCAGTCACGGGTTCCAAACCAGCCATGAAGTTTTTTCAGATTTCAGCAGAGATTTCCAGTGATTTTTATGCAGTTCCTAACAATAAAGGGATGCCTAAGCAACACTGATGCTGTTCTCGGCTTACTCCGATGTAGGAGTTCATTCCCAAACTTCTCTGAACTTTGCTAGATCAGATTTTTTTGTGATCCCGACAAAAAGAATAGGAAAGCAGATTGCCATCAAAATAGACCAGAGTAGTGTATACTATATATATATGTATATATTATAGTATATATATCATATATCATTATAATATATATAATAGATCTATAGACTATAATGTGAGGCCCCCCAGTTATAAGTTGCTTTAGATTCGCCCCAGTAACTATAGTTATTTGCGTACCATAAACCATAGTTATTGGAGTTATTTGCACCAACTTAGCTATCTTGGGGGCCTCACATTGTATAATATCATTATAATATATGTATATATATAATAGATCTATAGACTATAATATATATATATATATACTATATACATCATTTGGAATGGCCTTTGCCATGCCCTCTGAGGTCAAAACGAAGGACACCTCGACACCTTGACCGATGGTCACCGGGAAAAAATGTCCATGATCCCATCGGATCCAGAAATGATCCACAGCGGTATCAACCTAACACATGGATGTAGAAAACGAGACATAAATTATAACTGATTATAAATGATTATGAATGAATGATTATTAAAAATTATTATAAATGATTGTAAATGATTGTAAATTATTATAAATGATTATAAATGATTATTATAAATGAGTATAAATGATTCTAAATTTTGTGTTCATGCTTGCCGCCAAATGTCTGAGCCATTACTGTATCTATGCAAGACTCCCCGTTTTCGAAGCGCAAAACATGAGGCAAAATCACAAATGCCAAACATAATACTGTAGTCAGTTGGGATCATCATCTAACTCGGATTGAAAACAAACCATATTTGACATACAGTAGTTTGAATTCACCAATGAGTAACAAAGTCTGAGAGGAATTGACATTTTGGGAGTATATATCAAACTTTGATCCAACACCTGCAAACAACTTAGATCTCGTTTCTACTACTGATCTTCTACTGTACTTTCACACAATGAATGCGGAAACATGTTTCCGATGGCTTTTCAACAAAGGCTTTTACTTACAACTACCTGCCTTGGAACCCAACAAATTGCTGGTTTCCTGATTTTGGATGGTTATGATGATTCTTGGGAGGCTTAGCGATTGAATTTCACCAGGTACTTCCTGTGGTTCCGCCCGCTGAGTTTCCGAGCTGCCACGGAAAGCCTTGCTGGTTCCATGCTGAGGTGGGATGGGGGATTTATCAAAGGCCCAGCATATGGCTGGTTTTTGTTCCCCCTCATGCTTTTTACCTCTGATCATATCTATCCAAACTATCCAAAGTCAAGTGTATATCATATGATTCTTGATCAACACTCCTGATCTCCAAATGCATAGCGGGTTGTATCCCCGGATGCACCAAAAACATCGCCAAGAGGGTGGAAAAAACAATGATTCCTCAAAAACGGTTCCACAAAGTGTCTTGGAGGAACACTTGAGCAGTGCTTTTTTTTTGGGTGCTTGTACGCGGGCTTACGCCATGTGGAAAGTAGCCTAAGCGGAAGCAAATGCCAAAAAAATACCTCCTGCAAAACACAGACATCTTGGGGATTTCACCCCCACAATGTGTTGATCCTCCAATGATGGTTAGCCCGGCAGTAAACCTGGCTTGGTGGTTTTTCGATACGCCCGAAAATAAATGCAACCATATGGAAAATACCATCTGCGAGGTGCTCCATCCTCAGTGATGCATGGTGAATAGTTATATATATATATATCTTATATATATATGATATATTATAATATCGATTTTGGATAGTGATTAATGGATATCAATTATATCTGGATGATTCCAGGATATATTTTTTATGTTTATATATCTATACTTAGATGTTTATTTATATTTAGTATGATATATTTACATTATAAAATTATATTATAATATTGATTAATGGATATTAGTGGGACAAGGGGGCACCACCTTATGTTGGTTGTATCCGCACGCACTCCTTTGCTCCGAGAAACAACTGCCCCGCACTGTCACGCAGGTGGCTGGAGCGTAGCAGGAGACTGGACAACAAACTGCTCCTGGCGTGGGGGGGGAAGACCTGGCCATCCAAAAAGAAATGGGGCACAAGTGGGTCTGAATATAGGGGATATCATCCATGGCAAATCCATGGTGACCATTTATTTAGATTACCTATGGGATATAAACTGTGGGATATAAACCATAAATTGGGGATACTGTACTGATACTGCTATGTAAATCTCATGGTTTATCATCACTTTCCCTATTGAATAAACATGTATTCCAGCCAGCCATGGCAGACATGTTTGCTTTCTAGAGCGGAAAGGGAAATATGTTAGAGGAGCACCATGATCTTTAGATTATGTTTATAATTTTGGTCTATAATGGTCTATAGAAAGTCATTCCAACACCTGGAGAATTTCTAGGAAATGATGCGACAGTAGCTCCATTCCAAGAATTTCGTTGAAGGGTATGTCTACAAGACGGGCTGGCTTTCCCATGTCTTTGGATGGTGAAAAGCAACATGTCCTGCAAGATATCCCTGACATAAATCAACCAAAACCATAAATTGAAAAGAGAGGGTCACATGTACAGTGGTAAGTCTGTAAGTGGAAGCAAAATCATAATCCTGCAATAGAACATGCTGATATTGATCAACCAGGGGATTATGTACTATGGAATCCGAGGTTTACATTCCCTGGACAAGATGAAGACATGATGTGCGGTGTTGGACATTGTACGTAAGTAAAAGATTGTGAAAACCGCAAAACTATAAAACTGTGACCACGGCTCAAACTCGGATCTCAACCAAGCTGAAGCGGCTCATGTTGGCTCTTTTTTTCAGGAGCCAAAGATAGAAACACGACAGAAAAAACACGATGTTCGCCATGGGGTTTGTGGAAGATGGTTTGCCTCAAAGATGCTAAGAATCAATAACATTAACCCCAAATTTCAGCGGTTTATCACATTATATCATATTGTATCATGTTCCTTTTTTTCACGGGGTAAACCTTGGTGGCCAACACACATGTCACCCGCCGCACTTCCCCTGCCATCGCCCCAGATTTTCGGCCGCGGCATCTTCAGCCACCCAGGCGTCGGTTGAGGTAGCGCACCCGCGAGCCATAGGTGCCGAAGCTGGCTATGTAAAAGATCAAGGTCGCCAACAACATGCTGCGATAGGCTGAAATGCTTCCAATGGCACACCTGGCAGCTGTTCTTTTAAAACCAAAGGTGGAACCAGGTTGTGTGCAAAAACTGAAGGGATGCTGCTGGAAGGGTCGCTGAGTTGAAAGTTGGAGTTCATGTTGTCGGGTGCAACTATCCCTGGTGGTTTGGTCATTGCTCAAAATCAGTCGGTCTGAGCCTTCGACAAGTCCAACAAAGATCCAAAATCATCAAAATCCAATGTTTGATCCTAAAACATCCTAAAACATTGGATTTTGATGATTTTGATCACACACATTGGATTTTGGACATCCTAAATGTGCCCTTTGGCACTGCATTGTTGATGTCCAATTTTTTTTGGCATCGCAACTGCGCCTCCCAGCCAGCAGCGTCAAACCCACAAAGAAGAGAAGCGAGAGACCCGTCTGAGCGCACACATAGAAGCCGAGGTCACCGTGGACCACCAAGGAATTTTGGCAAACGCGGGTGGGATGCATCACGCATAAAATCCTCAGCTCCGATGGGGTGGGTGGTATATTGTGCCATAGGGAGTTTGAGCCCTAAATTGAAAGGAGGAAGGGGGGTGGGGGGAGACCACAAGCCTTACAAGCATGAAACCGACGTTGGATCAAGGCAAGAGTTTGCATTCGCAAGGAAATTAGATGCAACTTGGGTGGGTAAGAACCAAATTATATAGATGTCCAAACACTTGAGATTCTTGCACACACCATTGATCCTGACCAACCTGCACTGTATACTTGTCTGATGGATGATTTCAACCCATCCCAAAATGTCTAAAGTCATTTGGGAATATGTGGGATCCTCCCAAATAGGGCATGTATGGTTTATTGTCATCCCACCCCTCCATTGAATTCTTGTAATGGGTATATGAACCCATGGATTTAAAACCATCTCCCAATATGGGTTAATCTAATCTAATCCAACTTTTGACCTTGTCACATTTAAGGGATCATTCCAAATTCTAGGGTTGCTCCCAAGACCCCAGATACAAGAGATGAAATCCCCCCATTTTTTGCAGGTTGACGCACCACTTTAGCTTGAACAGTTCGTTAAAAGACATTGTTTTATCCGACCGGGAACAGCCGCGACAAGGGACAAGATGAAGGGCAGGACACCAATTTTCGCGCCTTGAATTACCTGTGGGTCCTGCGTAAAGGCACCCGCTCCTCAGTCAGCTGCGGGGCCCCAAACCAAACATAGCTACCAGTATAGGTTGGTTATAACGCGTGTTTCACTAGGCTTCAGCTGAATCTATCTACATATATATATAATTATATATATACACATCATATACTATGTATAATGTAATATAATATAAAATAATATAATATAACTCAACATAATAAAATATAATAAAACATTTATAATATAATACAACATAATATAATATAATATAATATAATACTATAGTGTAATAAAATATGATGTACTATAATATATAATGTTTAATATATAATATATTATCAAATATAATATAATATATATAAAATATAATATATCTATATTATATTATATATAATATATATAATATATATAATAATATATATATATAACATATATATATAATATAAAATATAATATATAAAATATAATATATATAATACATATAGTATATATAATATATAATATATATAATATATATAATATATATAATATATATAATATATATAATAATATATATATATAACATATATATATAATATATAATATATAATATATATAATATATATAATATATATAATATATAATATATATATAATATAATATAATATAATATAATATAATATAATTTAATATAATATAATATATGATATTATATGATATTATATGATATTATATTATATTATATATACTATATACTATATACTATTTACTATAAACTATATACTATATATTATATTATATATTAATATACTATATATATAATATATTATATATTAATATACTATATATATATACACTATATATATACTATATATGTTAATATATTATATCAATATATAATATTATATATATAGTATATTAATATATAATATATAATATAATATATAGTATATAGTATATAGTA